AAACACATGTCGCAGCCCGCCACAACTTTGTTCCCGTTTTTGCGCACCGCGAAAAAACGGCGATGGACCATTATCCATTATCACAAGTGATTCCTTTCTTGGATTTTCCCAACTTGGGACCTCTGATCTATCATTATAGTCTCTCTATATATTTCCATGGTTCCATTTAACCGGTTGTACTGGGGTCGTTCCACTCCAGTGTTTGTGCGGCGCGCGTATCAAAAGCACGTGCTATGCTCATATGTATGGCCATCAGGCGCGCCGGAAGCAGTTTTGGATTGGGGGGCAAAGACCTAGATTTTTTTTATCATGTGTGCGTGAGCGCGCGACGTTTGTGCGTGAGCGCGTGTGTGCGACGTGTGTGCGTGAGCGCATGTGTGTGACGTGTGTGCGTGAGCGCGTATGTGCGACGTGTGTGCGTGAGCGCGTGTGTGCGTGAGCGCATGTGTGCGACGTGTGCATGTGCGTGAGCACGTGTGTGCGTGAACGCGTGTGTGCGACGTGTGTGCGTGCGCGCGCATGAGCGCGTGTGTGCGACGTGGGTGCGTGATTGCGTGTGTGTGACGTGGGTGCGTGAGCGCGTGGGTGCGTGAGCGCATGTGTGCGACGTGGGTGTGCGGCGTGTGTGCATGAGCGCGTGTGTGTGACGTCTGTGCGTGTGCGCGTGTGTGCGGCGTGGGTGCGTGAGCGCGTGTGTGCGGCGTGAGCGTCAATCACGCAAAGCGCGCAACGAAAACTTAAAATGGATGTATAAATTAGTTTTTGAACGTTAGAATTAACAAGTCTTAGCTCATACATTTTCTTTTTTCTTTCCCACTCTTCTTTTGGGGGGGCTTTTTGATTGTGCCCCCTACTTTTTGGATTGGAGGGGCGGCCGCCCCCTCTGCGCCACCACTTCCGGCGCCTCTGATGGCCATAGCTGCTGTATATCTATGGTATAGCGTAGCCGTTCGTTTCGAACGCTGCCTTCCCACCCCTCTACCACCCCCTAAACAAACTGCGACGATAACTTCCGCGACGCCGTGCAGCAGCGCGTAACCTACTCTCTAGTATTATTGCCGCGCGGGCTATACCTGAGTGCAGCTACGCGTGACCCTGGCGACGTTGCATGTTAGGGTGATATGCTAGCTGTCATCTATCATCTAAGAACAGTAGGAGCATACGGCCTGTTGTTGTGATATGTTTGTAAGCACATTGTACGTACTCGGTACATTCTGCGCTGCCGTCTACTGGCTAACCAAAGCAACCGTTCCAGCCAACAAAGATGCGTCATTTGTTGAATTTCAGCGTTCGTATATGTCCGTGTACATACTCGCAACAGGTAAGCTAGTATAGACACACAAATATGATAATGTAACCCAATAATCGCGTGTTTTCATACTCTGTTTGGTTCCATTACTGTGTTTACAGGTAAGCAGAATTTGCGTTGTTTTTGTCGTTGTTTCAAATCATATTTGTAAAATATAGGCCTACACGTTATCGTTTCATTTCTATTCACTGCCATTCATGCTGATCCTAATGTAGGCGTTCACGCATATTCTCGCCCTCACCACAGGCCCTTGGAGGCTCGAGTTTCAAGAAGAGTATAAGACTATATTAAGGCTGAGAGGGTCTATGTTCCCCGGGGTACTGCCGGAACGTGCCCTGGGTACGGTCCGGTATACCGGAACGTACCCTGGTACTATCTAATATGCCGGACCGTACCTCGCAGAGCGAAGCGGTTTCGCTCTTCGCTCTTAATATAGTCTTATACTCTTCTTGAAACTTGAGCCTCCAAGGGCCTGTGCCCTCACATCAAGCTAGGCTCTTCTCCTAGTTGAAGGGCCGTAGCTATAATTTATTTTATTTTGTCTGGTGGTGTGTTTTGTGTTCCGTGCAGTTGACCGTGGTCAGTGCGTGTGCCGTTGGTGCTGCCAAGTCCTGGGACAACTCCCCCCCCCCATGTTATCCGCGGTCCAGAGGGTGAGAGTTATGTCTTGACATATGTCACTTTTAGAAACTTGTTGCTTGTCACAAAAGCAGCGACGGCTATGGACCTTCCTGTAATTAATCGCAAGGACAGGTCACCCGCTTGAAGAACTTGGACGTTTGTTTAGGCTATATTCTCTTTGCACAGGAGCAGACTGGATTCAAGGGCCACATGTGTATGCCCTCTATCAAAGCTATGGGATGAAAGCACATGAGATTGAGATTCTATTTGTGGCTGGATTCTCCTCATCCATGTTGGTTGGCACTATCATTGGCTCATTTGCAGATACTTTGTGAGTGCACATTGAAATACAGGTTGAGCAGCCCTTCATTATTCAAAATTCCTAATTTCAAAAATCTCCAAAATTTGCACAACTTTTTTCGAATGAAGAAATAATATACTTTAGTGTATATATCATCACGGTTCTTCCCACGCCTGTAACATGTGTCGTATCTAACAATTTGGAGCTGAAGCTAATATGTGACGTCCCTAAAATCCTCTGACATGTCTTTCAAACTGTATTTAACTATTTTCAGCTTGATGTACACATATCTGAACTGGCCGAGTTTACTGCTCATAGGGTCTATGTCCCCCAGGGTACTATCGGAGGGTACCCTGGGTATGGTTCGATATATCGGAGCGTACCCTGGTAACTATCTGATATGGTTAGGGTTAGGGTTAGGGAGTAGGCGTAGGCGACTCCCTATAGAGTCGTTAGTGGAGTAGGCGAGGTACGGTCCGACATATTAGATAGTACCAGGGTACGTTCCGATATATCGAACAGTACCCAGGGTACCCTCCGATAGTACCCTGGGGGACATAGACCCTATCAGCGAGTTTACCTGTGTACTAGCTGTAGCCGCTTACGACACACTTAATTTACTCCAATCGCCAATTGGGGATGAATTGTGAACCATGAATATTATTACTTTGCTATACATATATATGCTCAAAATTGTTTAAAATATTCCATGTAATTGCCTTCAGGCCATGTATAAGTGGTCAATGATACGAGTTTGTCAACAAACCTGCGAGCAAATTTGGTCCCATCCCAGAGCTATTGCATCACATAGGTTATGTATACAGTATACTTACACCAAAAATGTCATATTCCAAGACACTCATGGCCCCAAGCATTTTGAATAAGGGGTGTGCATGCAACGTGTAATACAAATACAACATTTGCATAAACAGTCCATTGTTGCCCATGGCTGTGCTTTTCTATAAATAAAAAACACCACCCAACCCTAATTATCATTGTTCTATGCCCTTCAAGTGGACTATCTCATTGCTATGTGATATCTTACCCATTAGCTCTTCGTGTTAATGAAATACTTTTTTAACTAATTTAAATCTCACTGCCTGCAATGTTTGTTTATTGGCATTTTACAGAAAATAGCAACGTCTTGAGAAAGTTTAGTACTATGGGCACAGCATTTGAATTGTGCATTTTTAGTGAATAAACCCCATCTGTTATTGGGAGCATCTTAGCGTGTCAATATTGTATCACATTTTGAGAGTTGCACCATATCATATAGTCTTGTTCTTATTACTCTAAAACTTGTTTCAGTGGCAGAAGATCTAACTGCATACTTTATGGAATACTTTACAGTTGCGCCTGCATTACAAAGGCAAGTGTTATTCAAAATCACATATAAACTTGCTGTTCCCAAGTAGTTGCTCTCTTCATTAAAGAATAGACGCAATAAGTTGTTTTGTAAAATGTAATAGCTTTACATATATACTCTGGTTGTACGAACAATTTTTACTGCTTTATTTGGAAGATAGCATAGACAACTTGAAAGTATCAGAATTTCCTTTTGATACTAAATGGGTTCTCACCAAATTTCACAGCCTTCACTGCATGCAGACTTCAATAAAGGTTTGAATTCTGGTTTGCTTGATGGAGGTTTTCTTAGTGACGCTGATAGGGTCTATGTCCCCCAGGGAACTATCGGAGGGTACCCTGGGTACGGTTCGATATATCAGAAAATACCTCGGGGGTACTATACGATATGTCGCTGCGTACCCTGCATTGTTCCACCGTACCCTGACTTTCACACACACAGTCTGTGAAACAGCAAAAATATTGAGATTAATTGATGAATCATCAATTAATATGAATAATTTAGAAAAATTAATAAAAGCTAGTAGTCTCGTAGTTTAATGTTATCATTGTAATACTATCATGCATTACAATAAATAAAAATGGTTTGATATTGACATCAAATAAAAAAAAATCAATATGCACGTGACGGCGGCAATACCTTGCGGCAGTAATACCTCACCCACCAGTATAGGGGAGAAGCGTAAAATGTTGTCATCCACTAAAAATTATCATTTTTCTGCAAAACCATATGTATATGGTACGTTCTGCATGATTTTCATGATCAGTTGGCTGAAAGTCAGGGTACGGTGGGACAATGCAGGGTACGCAGCGACATATCGTATAGTACCCCGAGGTACTTTCCGATATATCGAACCATACCCAGGGTACCCTCCGATAGTACCCTGGGGGACATAGACCCTATCAGCCTTAGTGACACGTTTGAAGTGCAAGTGTTATGGCACTAATGTTTTCCCAATTGTTTCCTGTGACAATTATGCATTTTTGGACCATAAATGAAACTAAAAAGATAAGAGGTTTCTTTATCAGCCACACAGAGTACCTACATAATGTGATTTGTTTGTTTGAAGTGCACCAGCTTGCTGCAATTGTGAAGATCAAATGATCAGATCCCATCACAAACGTAAAGGTTCTTGAGCCAGCAAACTCGTTGAGCATTGACAGTCTGTCATCCTACAGTACTCCTGAAACATCTTCAGTTCATTTCATCGTATCATTCATTATACATTTAGATCATTCGTATACTAATTTGAATCACTGCTCTTTTACCAGCATTTTCCCAACTTCTGGATTCTCATGATTGGGCGGGTGCTTGGAGGAGTGGCCACATCTATTCTGTACAGTGCATTTGAGTCCTGGGTGGTTTATGAACATCATCATGTATGTAACATGGTTTTCACCATTGTCGCCAGTTATAAGAGTTTTGCTTGTCGAATTTTGCTCAATAGTGAATAGTGAATACTCTTCTTTTTTTAAAGTAATAGATTCAAAAACGTAATGATTGGTCTTCAATTATAATGTTGAGCAGTAGGCCTACGTGAATTTTGTTGTTTTTATTCGTTATATATCTATGATTGTTTTCAAAATGCAGTTAGGATTTGACAGCTCATCCTTGGGTGTCCTGTTCAGTCATGCTACACTAGGAAACTCACTGGTTGCCATAGCAGCAGGCTTGATTTCTCAGGTTGTGGCAGACAAGTTTGGCTTTGTGTATGTATTAAATAAACTATGTTTCTGTTGGTTTTTTAAAAAGCTACAGGTGCCTGGTCTTTATTCACAAATGCTAATTGCAGTGATCCAAACACTAGGGACTTTATTGCTCTGTTGATAATGAATTAGAGGATTAACTAAATTGCGTCATGCAGTGCAGTGCAATTATATTGATAATACCAAGTATATTATAGCATGGTTTTTATGCAGTGCACCATTTGATGTCTCGATGCTTGTGCTCATGGTCATGGCCATCATGATCGCTTGCCTTTGGAAGGAAAATTGTGGTGATGCGGGATTGCCGCTATACCAGACGTGCTGTGCTGCATTCACCGTCATAAGAAAAGGTAAAACATCCTTCACTCGTCGTTTACTCATGTAACGGACTCATGTACTCATGTACTCATGTACTCATGTCGTTTACTCATGTAACAGCATCGGTCCTCGCCCACTTTGCTACCAGCTATATGACACCTGTCATTCAGAGTGTGGTGCTTTTGCTTCAAATCATTCATGGATATCCAAAGTGTTCATAATCTCAACGTTTATTTCAGATCGCAAGGTGCTATGTTTAGGAATCATACAAAGCCTGTTCGAAGGTGCAATGTATACATTTGTACTTGAATGGACACCAGCATTATCTCCCCCTATTGATCCAACTGATGAAGTTACACTGGCTCATGGTAATGAGCGAGTCACTATTCCTCATGGATATGTATTCGCTAATTTCATGGTAAGAAAGACATTTGTCATTTTCTAATTAAAAAGTCCTATATGCTTGTCACTTGCATGCGTACATGCATGTGTATCAGGAGTAGATAATAGGGAATTCCCTATTATCTACTCCTGATGTGTATGTATATGTATGTGTTTTTCTTCTCAAGTATATTTGATCGAGTATTGGCAAATTACACATCATAGTAGCAATTTAATCGTATTCAGATTCTATTTCTTTTAAAAATAGACACGACACTTTTCGTCTCATGATTCCGTATGGTGATTAACTTCACAGGTTGCTATCATGATTGGTTCATGTATTTTCAAGTTGCTGCTAGTCCATTTACCAGTAGAGTCATTTATGAGGTGAGTGCACGTGCTGTTGTCTATCTGAATTTTACATGTTGTTAAGTTGTTTACACACCATCTACATGTTTCTATATAAAAGCATGATATCTGCTGTCGAATATTACAAAAGAATAATCCAAGCGAAGGGCACAGAACAATTATGTTTCTGTCTTTATGCTGTATGTAACCTTTATCACTGTTAAATATAAAATTTGCAATGGGTTAAATGTATCATGTAAGCTCTGAAAGCCATGTCCACTCTTGGCACCTGGTTCCCTAGATTTTTGGAGAAAAAACTATATAGCCTGTGCTAATACTAATCCTGAATGTACACAATTCTAACTAAACTTCAATAAAAATGTAGCAAAAAATTACCACTATAACTTCACCCTAATCCTATCCTTTACGTTCATTTCTTGAAACATTTTCTTAAAAAATCATTCCCTCTTCATTACTCAGTTAATTGTCACTAAATTTCAGCCTTTATGTTCTGCTACAATCCTAGCTGTGGTGTTTATTTGTTGTGTAAATAAAAAATGTGTCATGTTACTTTTGCCATATAGTAGATTTTACCTGGTAATAACCTTTTTGTTTATAGGCCAGTTCTTCTAATTGCAGCCGGATCATTAGCAATGCCAGTTCTTTTCCACGGGGTAGGTCTGTTTTCAAGGTCCTTGTTTTCAGAGTAATCGGTTGCACTCGTATGAAAATTTCACTGGCATATATTAAGTAATAACATAGTAAATATAATTCTAATTACAGCTGAAAAATGTAAAGTTAAGTCATTACAATGAATTAAAGTTTCTAAACAAACACTATTATAACCTTATGTGTATGACCTTACATATGGCCTATATATGACCTTACATGGCCTATATATGACCTTAGTAGATGTCTACAAAACACTATTTTCTTACACATGACTAGTAATTTGATTTTATGCATGCTTTTAATTAAAAGTTTTTTAATTCACTTATGTAAGTCAAAGTAATTGCTTTTGGATGTAATGTTTTAGGAGCAGATGCTAATCTTTGTTGGCTTCATCATCTTTGAGGTTTGCGTCGGAATCTTCTGGCCAGCTCTGAGCACAATGAGGGGCAAATATGTTCCTGAAGAAGGTATAATGTAGAATTCTTTGCTATCATTGGTAATGATTGTTGATCATATATCTAATGCAAATATTATACGCAAGCATTTGCATTTACGAAACTAATGGAGACACTGATTGTTCCTTTTTTCTATACAAATATTATCCATTTCATACCAGTTTGGATCCTACAGTGTTCACTACTATATTCTAGCTTGCAGTTAGAAAACAATAACCATGGATTTACACCCCTTAAAATGCTTTTTATACAGCCAGGTCAACCATCATGAACCTCTTTAGAGTACCGCTGAATGCTGTTGTAATACTAATACTACTACAGGTGAGTATCTACATGCTATCCTGTATGCTATCGTGGGAGTAATAGAGTATATATATTCAGGGGCGGCGCCAGGGTATTTTCTTAGGGGGGCGTAACCAGGTGCGTGTACAGGAGCACGCGAAGGGGGGGTCTGGGGGCTATTCCCAGAAATTTTTGTTGAAGAACCCCTAGATGCGTTTTCTGCGCGAGTCGGGGGGTCCGGACCCCTGCGACCCCCCTGTACACGCCCCAGGGGAACTGTAGACTCTGATACCGTGTGGCGCTGCACTGACGGGGGGGTCCAGGGCGTGGATTCATGATTCATCAAGCTGCGTACGCAGAAAATATTTTGCCGTAAATCTTGTGTACGCAATCGACGCTTGCTTAGTTGCGATTCATCAACACAGCTATTTAGTAAATTTTTGTACGCATTTCGCGTACGCAAGCGAGGCCGTTTTTAGGTGCAATTCATCAAGCTAAAATTTCGTAAAACCTTGCGTAACTTTACACGAGCTGACGAGGTGCCGTAAACCACTCGAAATTCCGCAGTGTTTCCAGCATACCGCAGCATGCATTATTTTATTGAGAAAACATTATAAAATTATAACTCAACTATAAAATAAATAAATAATTACCATACACACAGACAGGCTGGGCCTTTGACGCTTTTTTTGTCATAGCTTGCATTGTTTTCGTTATAAGCGAGTTCGTAGTTAAGCCGTGTACGTGCACATGCCGTGCGCACTTGTACGTGCCACGCACGCACTTGTACGTGCACACCAAGCACGCACGTGTACGTACACACGCACGCACGCACGCCCGTGTACGTACGCAAGCACGCACGTGTACG